AGCGTTCTATCATGAATGCAGTTCTCTGATTGGCTACGCTACCCACTATCTATTCTGTGATAGATAGTGAGTAGCGTGGCAGTGTGCCCTTGTTAACAAAATGAAGACCGCTTCTTGGTGTTCTCGAAGTGTTTGTGAAGAGGATTTAGACAAAGTTTTGAATGACTAGTAGATTTATACTAAAACAACTGGATTATTCGCTCTCAACTTCTATGCATAATAGTCGATAAGGGCGCAGCCTGAGTTGACTATCACACGATAGAAATCTCGAACTCATAATCTAATATTTTAATAGACACGATTGTTAATCAATCTGTGCGCATATTTTTGGCTCAGAAGATTGTGCAAACACTTCCAACGTTTTTGTCTTTAAATAAATTAATACTTATTATTACTTAAATGTTGATATTATGATGATGCACATCACTCTAAGCTGGCGCCTTGATAAGTTGGTTACATTTTTCACTAACAGTGGACCCAGTCAAGAGACCATCTTTCATGTCCTCAGTTAAACTTGATTTCCATTCCTCTGGGAGTGCATCCTAATCTGTATATCAACAAACAAGGAAGCACGCGCACGTCATGAGGCTGGAGATCAAGACCAGTCCCAAGTAAGCTAATTTTGATATATCAAAATAATGGTCAGTGTAAAACGCAGACTGCAGATCGGGAGTAAAATTCAGTCTGAGGGTAAAATGCAGACTGCAGACTGCAGACTACAGACTTTTTGAGTATATATTGTGTTACTTCCATTATTGAGTGTTAACCGTAAACAGGGTTATCCAGGCTAATCATGACGTAGTGAAAGTTTGCACTCCGGTTAGCCTGAATATCACTCAGGTTAGCCTGAATAACGTTGTGATTAGCCTGTTTACGGTTAGCTCTCAATTATGGAAATGGTAACACGATTCAGTTAAAAAGACTACAGTCTGCAGTCCACATCTTACCCCTGGTCTGCAGTCTGTAGTGTGCTTTGCGTAGTCTGCATTTTACAACGACCGATCAAAATAATTCCAACTTGGCTCTCAGGCATTGGAAAATAAAGCAAAGAAATCAATTCTCATCACTTGACCTCTATGTGATTTCTCATTTTATTCTCCTAATCCTCTAAATTGGCCGACATATTGGACAACACAAACCTTCATTGGTATTACAGCTGACATGCATTATTATCCCGTCTTGGGAAATCATTGCAGGGAATAAACTCCCCTGACTTCCGAAGTGGGCAATCCTGGGAATATTTCACATTGAATGAAGGCAAAACCCCTATTTTCCAAATGTCCAAGGGAAATGAAAATTGGTTGAAACAATCCTCCCTAGGAAAAAAGACGGCAGCTGTACATTTTACCACAATACCATACGAGCCTAATACAGTCCGTAAAGTACACAAAAGCTATATTTTGCAGTATATGTCCATGTGTTATCGATGTTGTGTACGCTGGGTTTGAAGGTTTTAGAACGTTCCTTTACGTTTTTATGAGCGTTGTTTAAGTTTCCGTGCGCTAAGTATTATGGGTAAATGTACCAATCGCCATCTTTTTTCCTACGGTGGATTGGGATTGCACTGCATTGGACGGGAAATACTTCTTTTACACTCACTAACTGGAGAGAAAGGAAGTACAAAAGTTTTTTTTATTAATTTATTGATAATGTACATGCTAAACAGAATTGAATTTATAATCTTTACAACACTAACCATATGTTTCCTTTTTGTGAAAATGTCTCTAAGTTCCACTTATAATTGGAAATAAATCGTATAAAACTAAATGTATAGATTTGACAAGAGCAACCATAGCAAAGGAAAAACTGTCATCTTGTATAAGCTCAAAACTGTGATTGTTAAAGGACACCTTTCTATACAGTAACGAATAAAATCTCTTGTGTTGGCTTAATCTACAACATCAATTTCTAACTCTTTTCAACCGTTAAGGAGATGGATAGTTCAAGGTTAAAAATGCTATTGACAGATTTTAGGTCTTTAGACCCTCTGACACTTATTTCTTTAGCACTGTTCATTATTGCGTGTCCTGTGACATACAGTGTGGATTCTTATTTGAGCTTGTGGTTGAAAACGGATGACAGTGTTTCTTGAGGTACTTGCCGTGAAGGAAACATATTTAAAGCCTTCCTTGAAGATTTAGAAAGGTTGCAATTGTACAACCACAGGCAGAGAAAACGATAACAAGTTCATAGTCGATATTTTACAGCTTTGGTGAAAAGTTGTCGTTAAATAATGTTGTTTATCTTTGGCTAAGTGTTCCCTAACTATTGTTTAGTAAAATTGTACTTTTAATAGCAATTAATTGCTTAAGAATTAATAATATAATGAGCATAAAATGTCGTTTTTGAACACAACCGGTGAAATTCTTTTGTTGCACTTGTGATTTTCAAACAAATCTTAAAATATATACAAAATTAAAATGGTCAGCTGAGCCACGTCTTCCGGACAAGTCATTAGTTCGGCCGATTTTCTTCTCAGAGAGACCACACCCAACCAACGTGTTTGTCTCCCCTTTACTACTATAATCACTAGGGGACTTGTGGTCACATATAAAGCTGTTTCCCGTGAAGTCTTTCTTAGTTTGCTCAACAAGGAGATCCGAGGGTAGTTTTGTTTTTGATTATTTGTTAACCCTAACACATTCAAATTTGCGAGGACTTTATATTTCTATTTTCGTTATTCACAAGTGAAAATCTGTCCTCAAAACACACCACTTGGGCGTGGCCCAGTAATGAGTTTTGATCTTTTAAAAATATATACAAAATGATTTAAACAAGTAAAGCGTTGGTAATAGTTGAGATTCTGTTAATTTGAAGAGCATATAATGGTTTTGTGATAACAACAAAAAACAATCGCAAAAATATTTGCCACAGGTACAATTAAGCAACTAGAGAAGCCAATCAGAGGAAAGAAAATTTTTGTGCTGCATTTATATCATTGATACTGCTTGTTATAAAATTTGCCTTCTTTCATTAAAGTGATCGTAAAAATTGAAGACATAAAATTTTTTAAAACACTATTTTCCCTTGGACCACGATAAAACATTTATTGTTGCTAAGTTTAGTCATGCATAATGCATCTAATACTTGTTGCTCATAAAATTAGTGAAACGTAAAATTTATCAAAAGCTTTCTGTAGACTGTATTTGCAATGAGCTTGGTCAACGCTTAAATTTGTCCAGCCTTTGCAAAGTAGCTGATAACTAGCTAATTAATTACTTAGTTAACCTAATATTATCTCGTTAACCAAAGCGTAAACATGTTTAAACAATATTTAATTGACCTACGTGTAAAAATTGTTCATTAGTTTCCATCATGAAAACACAAGTGAGAGGTTGTTTTACGTCCGACTTTTGGAACTGATTTCCATTTTTGTCGTTTAAACGAACCTGTTTACGTGGTGGGTACGGGGCAACGATAGGTTGCCCATAAAACCTACATATATGATGATGTATATCGGTGATTGTTGTAGTTCTTCGTGAACCCACTGAAAACGTCTTCCAGTGTCTTAACTCCTAACCTTACGAGGAGTTTCGTTATGCTAGTACCTGTACTTGTTCCTGTTATCTGCGCAATTCTTGGCATCTTTCTCAGTTCACTTATCCCAGAACGAACGTAAATTTTGTACGGATTGACCACTGCCAGATGTTCCCCTTGGCGATTCTTCTTTTGTTGTCCCAGTTTGGGTCCTGGGAGACTGGGTTTTGCCGTCTTTGACAGAGAACACATTCTCATTCGTTCTCACTCGTGGAACTGCTTCTAATTCTCGTAACAAAGGTCTCCGTTCTGTAGTCACACGGTACACCGTTGGTTCTGTACGAGTTCGGCTCTCGATGGAATATCTTGTTCTTTGGCGCTCTTTTTCGGTTGAAGTCTTAACACCTTTGACATGGGGAACTTTAGACAGGCTTAAGCTGCGACTTTGAGCGAGTGGTGCTTCACTTGCTGGAGATTTTGTAGACACGACCTGGTATGAAGTGGCTCGTTGCAATCCTTTGGAATAATGTCTCATCCAGGGATCTTCATCATCATCGACATCAACAGGAACTGAAATTTGTTTTCTCCAGTGGGAGGTAGTGTGCTCTTTCACAACAGGCGTTTTGTCGCCAACATTTACCTGGAAATTAACGGGTTCAAATTTGGAAACTGTTGGTGTGACTTCCGAAACACTGCGTTCCACTTTCGTTATCGACGTGGTCACCTCTTTCGAAGGTTCGTTATCATCAAGGAGAATTTTGTAAGTCACTACGCTCGACGCATGTTGGGTTACTGGATGAACTGTTTCAGTCTGTTGGTTTAACAGAGGCACACTGTTTTCCACAGTGGATACCGACTCTGTTATCTCTAGCTTGGGTTCTTCCTTCTGTACACTCTTTTCAGGTTCAAGTTCAGTATTTGCTCCACCGTCGTTCACGATAGGTTGTTCGATTAAATATCCTTGCATCAAGTCCCAGAGACGTGAGCTGGAGCCTCGCCGCACTATGTCCTTGGGGCTTTTCTCACGAGGTGATATCTCCTCGTCGTCTGCTTTATCTCTTGAATCGCTGCTTTGCTGAGCCTCCTCGTTGGGATGATCAAATCCAGCAAGCAGAGTTGAAATATCAGGTGTTTCCTTTTCTACTGTGTGTTTCATGATCCATTCTTCATCTGTCAAGGTAACATCCGGTTCATCAGTTGTCAAAACCTTGCCATTTTTCGGATACTCGATTTCAAAGTTATTACTAGGCTCACTAAACTGAACCTCCGTGGAGCTAGTGGAAAATTGAGGTTCCTCTTCCAGGTTGTCGTATTCACTTGTTATAACAGGAGATGTCCTTTTAACAGACCGCGTTACAACAGTGGGTGCCAGCTCTTGTATTTCCAGGCCGTTTTCATCCGTGGAAGTCCTTTCTGGAATAGTCGCTTGGTAGACAGTCTCAAACGTGTGCGCATGTATGTTCCAAGTAAAGTGGCTGTTTTGGTCAACTGTTCCGTCTTCATCTGGTGATTCTAGTTGGGCCGAGACGTCAGACATGTCATGGTCTGCCGATGGCGATTTAAATACAGGGACAATTCCTTCTTCTTGTATGTGTGCACTCTTGTCTTCATCGACCTCAGGATGATTGAAAGGGTATTCAAGATGGTAAGTCAAGTCGGTCGCTGGTTCGCTAAACTGGACATCAGTGGAACTTAAGAAGAATTGTGGGTCATCTTGGTTTTCTCTAGTGGTACTCCAGATGTCCGGAGAAGGTCTTTTAAAGGAGCGAGACACAACCACAAACGAATGTTCTTGCACGTCGGAGGACTTCATTTCTTGCTCCGTGGGTGGGTAATCGGGAGCTATCACGTGATGGACCGTTTCATACCTGTAAACTGTAAGGTCTAATGAGTGGGAGGAGTCGTCTATTTCTTCTGAAGGTGACCCCGTTGAGCTCTTTCTTTCTGGAGGTAATTGTTTTTCTGTTTTTTCTGGACAATCGGTCTTCTTAATATTGTAGGTTACAGAATACTTTTGAGGAAGTGAAGTGTCGACCATTGCCTTTGGGTCTCGGACATTAGTTGTTTGAGGGTCCTTGCTATCAATGGGGGGCTCTGAATCCGAGGAAGACGAGGAACTTGCTGAACTTTTGCGTTCCTTTAGATTTGTTTGAGAGCCTGGCATAAAAATGAAATCTGGATATGTGGGGTTGACTGAATGCGACTTCACGTCCGGAGAGTCTTCTTGAATCTCTTCTACACTTGGGACTTGCTGATCACTTTCACCTTCAGGCTCTGTGGGGTATTGTTGCTGATATGTTCTGTATTCAACTTTGTAAACCACGGGTGATCTAGATTCTCCATCTGATGGAGAAGTCATCGAACCTTTCCATTCTTTTGGTTTTATCTCATAGTCTGGTTTTTCTACTGACAGAGACAAATCTTGATCTGCAGGCTTTACTGAATCCGAGGACGACGAGGAACTTGTGGAACCTGTGTGCCCGTTTGGTTTGGTTTGTGCATCTAGTGTAAAAATGAACTCGGGATCTTCAGGTTCAGCAGAATCCAACACATCTTCCGGAGCGCCTTCTTGTATGTCTGCAACACTAAGCACTGGCTTTTCGTGTCCGCTTTCAGGCTCTAAAATAGACTGTTGCTGAAGCATTCTGTCTTGCACTTCATAAGACACGGGTGATTTTGATTCTTCATCTGACGAAGAGCTTGACGAACTTTTCCGTTCTTTCCATTTTATCTCATCGTCTGGTTTCTCAACTAAGAAAGGCAAATCTGGGCTTATAGGTTTTACTGAATTCGAATCTGCCATAGGGACGTCTTCAGCATTCGAGGACGATGACGAACTTGACGAAGTTTTTCGCTCCTTTGGTTTCGTTTCCATGTCTGTCATAACAAAGAAATCGGGATCTGCGGGCTTAACTGAATTCAACACCACTTCCGGGGCGTCCTCTTGCATATCTGAAATACTTAGTACTGGTTTATCGGGTTCACTCTCAGGTTCTACAACATACTGCTGCTGATACATACTGTACTCCACTTTGTAAACCATGGATGATTTTGATTCTTCATCTGACGAAGAGCTTGTTGAACTTTTTCGCTCTCTTGGCTTTATGTCACCGTCTGGTTTGTCTACTACGAAATGCAAATCTGATACAGGCTTCACAGAACGAGAAACTACCGAAGGCGTGTCTTGTTGAACATTCGTAATGCTTGTTACTGGTTTCTCCAGCTCTTTCTTTTCAAATGTTGTTTGTGCTAACAACAATTGTTTCTCCTCATTGTGGTTTTCTTTATCAGAAGAAGATGAACTCTTTGAACTCTTTCGCTTTGGTAAGCCTTTCCCATGAAGGAAGGATGGTGCTTCATCTGACGACGAGGATGTCGAAGTTGTTCTTGTTTTTTTCTCTTCTGTGGTCTTTACTAGATGGACATCAGCTTTTGATGAACGTTTCTTTCTTCCCACGTCTTCGTCATCCGATGAAGAAGAACTCGTCGATTGTTTTGATTCTCGATTGTTTTGCTTTATTGGAGCGTGGCCTTCCCTGGAAGATGGAGTGACATCACTTTTTACTGGACTTTTCTTTCTTTCCCCCTCCTCATCATCCGACGACGAAGAACTTGCGGACGGTTTTGGTTCTTTTTCTTTTTGCGTTAATGATGTGCGGCCTTCCTTGGAAGACTCCGAGCTACTGGAACTCTTTCGGAATGCCTTAAATAGTCCAGACTTCTTTTTTCGCTTTGACTTCTCTTCTTTTTGGCCATCAGAATCAGATGAAGAAGATGAAGATGAACTAGATGAACGTTTTTGTTTCTCTTCTTCCGGAAATACAACTTCAATTTTCTGCCTAATTTCACGGTCCAGTGTCAGTGTCCTGTTTCTTGGGGAATGCGATTCATTTTCTTCAATTGATGCTGAGCAAACGGTGACATTTTCTTCCACCTTTACAAGCTTCATAGAACCCGGTTTCCAACTGTTCTTTGCCTTGTCGTCGCTAGTATCTGGAATGTCAAATTCGAAGCTTTGATCAGATTTGTCCATTTCTGTCGGTGGTAAAAGCCTTAGTTCCATTTCAGGTCGTATCTCATCATAACGCTGAAGACTATGTGGCTCATCGAAAGCCGCCGATTGAACCGGCTGTGGAGTGCTATGGAGGTCCAAGATGTCAGAAGTGTTCACCACTGATATGTCATCTTCCACTGGACTAGACTCTAAGTTTATTTCACCACGAGGGAGTCCTACGAGTTGCTTGGTGGCCTCAGGCGCCTTAGGTGTTGAAGTATTCATACCCCAGTTGAACTTAGCATCGAAGTCTTTTCCTCTGTCTTCTTTAATTTCCAGAGGTTCACATGGCTCTTTTTTGTCACCTATTGGTGGAAAGCTGTAATCCGAATCAGGGGTGTCTAATCCCGCCATGTCCACTCCGTATCTTTGTTTTGATGTAACGTCTAAATCGGGGCGATTAAAATCAAAATTAACATCACTTGTGTGGTCTACGCCTAATCCATTCGTGTCCAGTCCAATATTTGGTTTGCACGCAGAAGTATCAGCATGAAGGGTGGACACACTTGGTTCAACAACTTCCAAGTTATTTTCAACTCCGGGGATAACTGTGTCGAGTCCGTTTGTATCAAGTCCGAATCCGTTTTTGTTGTTAGAAACCTCTATATCAGGCAAGCTAGCCTCGAGGTCTAAATCTTCGTGAGAGGCTGAGATGAAAGTAATATCACCATTTTTTGATGGTACAGAGATATCTGGTTTAGAAAGATCGAAGTCTCCTGGACCCTGTGGTGTGTCAATGTCTATATCTAGTCTTGGAGTATCGTTTTCTTGACCTCTTTGGCCGATCGAGGGTCCAGATATGTTCGGCTTTTCATAGGAAAAGTCTGCTCCATTTAGGTCTATTTGTCTTGCGCCTTTGGTATTTGGGACGTCCAACCCAGGTGGATTGAATCCAATCTTCGGCTTGTTGGATGTTTCAATATCTGGAATGTTTGTGCCTAAATCTGGCTTCCGGATGTCCCCATATTCTTCTGTTTTGTCAAGAGAGGGTCCCGATACCTTAGGTTTCGCAAATGAGAGGTCTGGACCAGCTATGTCTATTTCTCCTGAACCTCCGCCTTTTGGAGCGTCAACTCCAGAAGATATCAAACCGATCTCTGCTTTTTTGGATGATATATCAACATCTGGGGTACTTATGTCAAACTTCTGACCGGTAGCTCCTCCATCGATGTCAACTTTAGGCTCGCCTATGCCTTTCATTTCTACAGATCTATCGAGGTCTGGCCCGTCAAAATCGAACTGGGTGTTTCCCGTTGCTCGTCTGTATGGTTCGTCTTTATCGGCGCCACCTGTGCACGACAGACAGTTGCCACGAAGTTTCCCCTTGGATGCAGGAGGCAAGTCAACTGATGGACCTTGGAGATTTGCGTCTGGGCCCCTGAAATTTCCGCTTGGGACGTCCACATTAGGTCTAGAGATTTCTGTTTGTAGTTTGCCTTTTGTCTTGTTGAAGTCTGGGGCATTAACGTTTGGTCTGGCATCTATTCCTCCTGAAGCTCCGAGTTTTGGAACACCAAATTCCGGCGACTTGACTCCAGTATCTGGAGTACTGACTGACGTGTCAATATCTGGAGTATTTATGCCACGATTTGACGATGGGATGTCAAAGCCTTCGTTTGTTTTGCCAAGAGATGGCTCGGAAATGTTTGGTTTGTCGTAAGAAAAGGCTGGTCCATCAACATCTATTGCACTCGCACCTCTAGCTTTCGAGACGTCAAATTCAGGCGATTTTAATCCAGGCCTTGGTTGTTGTGCTGATACATCAATATCTGGAGTATGTATATCAAAATCGGGACCAGTAGCTCTTCCATCGATGTCAACCGTAGGTTCGCCTATGCCTGACTTTTTCATCTCTACAGATTCATCAAGGTTTTGCCCGCCAACATCGAACTGGGTGTTTCCTTTTGCTCTTCTGTATGGTTCGTCTTTATCGACTCCACCTGTGCACGATAGACAGTTGCCACGAAGTTTCCTCTTGGATATAGGAGGTAAGTCAACTGATGAACCTTGGAGATTTGCCTCTGGCCCCCTGAAATTTCCGCTTTGTACGTCCACATTAGGTTTAGAGATTTCTGTTTGTAGTTTGTCTTTTGCCTTGTTGAAGTCTGAGGCATTAACGTTTGGTCTGGCATCTATTTCTCCTGAAGCTCCGAGTTTTGGAACACCAAATTCCGGCGACTTGACTCCAATATCTGGAGTATTGACTGATGCGTCAAGATCTGGACTATTTATGCCACGATTTGACGATGGGATGTCAAAGCCTTCGTTTGTTTTGCCAAGAGATGGCTCGGAAATGTTTGGTTTGTCGTAAGAAAAGGCTGGTCCATCAACATCTATTGTTCTCTCACCTCTAGCTTTTGGGACGTCAAATTCAGGCGACTTTAATCCAGGCCTTGGTTGTTGTGCTGATACATCAGTATCTGGAGTATGTATATCAAAATCGGGACCAGTAGCTCTTCCATCACTGGCAGCATCAAGATTGCTTATGGCACGTTTTTCCAGTTCCAAATTGAATTCTGGTGCATTGGCGTCGAATCCCACGCTTGGCTTCTCAGTGTCAATATTTAGGCCAGATCGGTCTGTGGATCTCTGGACCTCCGGTACGTTCAAACCAAACTGAGCATCTCCCTTTGTCTTTCCATACGGCTCATCTTTGTCAGCACCACCTGTGCACGACAAACAGTTTCCACGCTTTTTCTTTGAGGAAGAAAAATTTAAATCGGCAGACGGAACGTCCGGCCTTTCCTTTGGATCTCTCATTTTCCTCGTTGAAACATCAACTTCAGGTCCTGATATTCGTGTGCTTAGTTTAGCTTTTGGTCTAACATCTGGTCCACTGACATCAAAATCCACGTCTTCGTTAGAGACATCTGGGGCATTGATTTCCGGACCTCTTGTATTCACTGCGATGCCTGACGTTCCTGGTGAGATTGTTCTATTTTCCCCGCTCAGTTCAAAGTCTGGTCCAGCGGCACGGAGTCCAAACTCCTTGTTCATTCCACTTTCCTCAAAATAAGGACCGGATCGACTTAAGTCGAACTTGTCAACTTTCTTCATTTCCAGTGATCCGTCGGGTCCACTTAAATCATATCCAACATTTCCCTTAGTTTTCCTGTAAGAATCATCTTTGTCACCATCGCCTGCGCACGTAAAGCAACTGCTACGCTTTTTCTTTGTAGAAGGAACATCTAACTCGGCAGATGGGACGTCAAATTGTGCTCGTCGGTCTTGAAGTTTACCAGCAGGAACGTCGACATCAAGTCCTGAAATCTCGGGCTTCATTTTCTCTCCTCTTGTGTCGATATGTGGGGCATTGACACTTTGATCTCCATTCAACGATCGCTCAGGAACTTTCGAAGACACATGTGGGGATGGCAAAGAGACGTTTGGACCAGAGATCTCAATATTTCCCTGTTGATCACTCTTTGGAATATCTACGTCAGGTGCAGATGCGTGAAGTCCTAGTTCCTTTGGTTGAAAATTTGCCGTGTCTCCTCCAAGATTATTGTGAGTGCCATTTACATCGAAGCTATCACCAGTTCTCATTTCCACTGATCCATCAACATCAGGTCTATTAAAATCAATAGCAACGTTCCCTTTTCTTTTTTTGTACGGTTCTTCTTTGTCGGTGCCAACAGCACAAGAAAAGCAGTTTCTTCGCTTTTTCTTTTTGATTGGCAAATCTAACTCTGAAGATGGAATACCGGCTTTTCTCTCTGGACCTTCCACTTGAAAAGCAGAAACATCAACATCAGGCCTGGACATTGGCGTTCTGAAGTTGCCTTCTGGTGTTGTGATGCCTGGGCTATCTGAGTGTAGCTGTACCTTTGGATTTATTTCGAAGTCCTCTTCTTCAACCGATGGTCCAGACAAATTTCCACTCGCATTCGTAGACGGAACGGAAAAGTTAGGTCCCATTGCATGAAGTCCTAATCCTTTTCCATCAGGATCTGACCCCGCGCCAATTTTCCCGTCTGCTTTAATATCAATAGACCCATCCAAATTTGGCTTGTCCAAATCTAATCCAGCATTCGCCTTTCCTTTGCGGTAAGGCTCGTCTTTGTCGTCACTGGACACGCAAGAGAAACATTTGCCACGTTTTGTTTTAGGTGAAGGCAGATTCAAGTCAGAAGACGGATCATTAAGATCAATGTTTGAATACACATTTGGTCCAGGTACTTGCGTTTTTAGGTTTACTTCAGGCTTATCCACTTGCGGTCCACTCACGTCGAATCCTGGTTTCTCTGCAGAAACGTCTACTTCTTCTAGATCAGGAGCATCACCTTGCAGTCCCTCAATTTCGACAGATGGAACCCCTGCTTGTAACGTCGGCTCCATGTCAATTTTGCAGGATTCCTCTACAGGTCCTTTAGGTAGATCCAAGGATGCATCTGCCAAGGAGCGAAATCGTTTAAAAACCCAAACAAATACAGAATAAAGAAAAGATGTTAAAAGGTAAAAATGATTTGGGCTCGTAATCCAGCGGTCTCGGGTTCGAGTCCCGCTCTGACCACTACCTCGATTTGTTTCACGGTAGCCCAGTGTTCAAAAATCCTCCATCCCGCTCGTAAATAGCCAATTGGTTTGCCTCCGGCCAGTTGGGATTCTTAACAATGTTATGTTCAATTTGAATTATTTGTTGCAGTTGTTTGTTCGGCCCCACTAGCCTTTGCGCTATTAACACTGCTAAGGGTAAATAAAGGTTACGTTTTTATATTTATATAAACTGCGTCACTAGTATTAAATAATAGTTAATTGAAATTGTTAAATGTACAATGCAATATACAAAGGACCTATAGCAGCCATGAAACAAGTCAATTTGGCTTTGAATTAAAATGTAATATACAAGCTAGGATGCAATAGACAAGAATGGTAACTCAAAACCATGATGGTGCAAAATAAGTTGTCATTTACCAAAACTTTAGATTATCTTTACTTTCTTTACAACACATACATACCCTTTCCTTTGTATAAGGCATTTTTCAACAGCGTGAGTTGTAGCTTTGGTTTCTCATCATCTCGAAGGAGGCTCATAGCTCTATCATAGGGCATGCCTTCAATAGGGACACCATTAATTCCGATGATCTTGTCTCCTAAAAAGAGAGAGATTTTTCTTCATTAATGAGACGTTGGCATTTCAACTGTCGTCACTAACCATCTAGAGGCAATTATCCAAAGGTATTTATCAACCATTGTTTTTTAGTCCTTAATGATTGCTAATTTTTCCATTCAATCAATGAGTTTTTCATTCTGGACAGATTCATACAGACTAGAAATAACCCGGTAAAACAAAGTAAATTGTAAATACAAGGTGTTCAGTTTATTAACCCGGTTCCAGATTTCATCTGATAAGGTTAGATGAATGATAGTTTCGTAGCCTAAAGCTCATTAGATTAAACTCTCTCACCTTTGTCCATGAGACCTGTTTTAGCTGCAATACCACCTGGCGTGACTTCATTAACAAACAAGGCAGGAGATGGCAAATTCTTATCCCTCGCTATCAACAGACCGAAACCTCCATGCTCAGGGCGGTCAAGATCGACATCAATGGTTTCCTGCGGGAAAGGAAACATCGTTATTACGAAAGAGACACGGGAAGGAGGCTGCATGTATATGGAACGCATTCTTCTCGTATTGTGTTTTTGGGGCTCAAATTCAAATCGGGTGGTCCGGCTTACTCTCCCAATGTCTATTTTCAACCAGAAGTATCAATCTATTACGGCGAGGTGAAATAATGCCAGAGGTATCTTGTAATAAAGAAGTATCATTCAAGGGGAGTTGCAATTCCCTGGGGTTACTTTGCGCTACGCCGGGACTGAAGTTAATTATTGATCGAAAGCATTCACCCTAATTTTATAAAACCTGCAATATCTCCCGTTTGTTCCTCGTATGTCCATTATCTTTCGTTATAATATAACGGTGAGAAATGTAGCATCTCTACTGAACAGTTTTTTCGAAGATCCTCAGACGGCTAAATTCCGCACTGTAGAACACTTTTAGATCAACGTATCATGTAGTCCGACCTTAAGTTTGATAGCCAGCTTGAACTTGTAACAAAGCATATTCCCGATTATAACATTTGCTTACCAAATTCTTCGGTCCATCCACGTTAAACGTAGGCTTGGCTGGACTCTTGATGACGACATTAGCATCTGCACCTGGAGGGCTTCCACCTGACAAACCACTTGCTGATAGTTCATTTTCCGGGAGATCAACGCCTGGATGCGTTCCTTCAGGAAGGTTCAGGTCCGGGCGATTCCCACCTGTGAGATTCTTGTCAAGGGAAGGATCCCAATCCATGTCAATCTTTACATCCCCCTTACGAGAGGGAGGTTTTATGCCTGGATGCCCACTCATATCGACTTTGACGTCTCCCTTATGACTTAGGGGCTTTATAGATGGACTGCCATCCATGTCAATTTTGAATTCTCCTTCGTGGTGAGGTGGCATGTCAATGAGAACCTCGTGACTTCCACCAAATGCTGGGTTGACAACTCCTCTCGTGTTGTAGGCTGCAAAAATAACATTTTTGAAGCGTTTATATCAAGTAGCATACTGTTCGGAAACAGTGTTTACTTGTTGCTTGTACAAAAATCTACGCTTTTAGGTAGGCAATCGATAATGTTGCTCTGTAAGGATAGTTTCTTGCCTCAAGAGGCAATTAAGAGATTTCTTCATTTTTATTTCTACACCTGTGAAAACGAATAAAGAATAGTTCGCTGGACAAAACTGTTCTGGATCGACGTTTTGCGACAAAAACATATCAAGCAAAGCGACGCAAATAATTTTGTAATTGTCTTAAACCTCATTAAATTCCACACACGGAAAGTTATTTTCATGTAGATCATGAAATCAGATGAGTAGCATAACCATGTGTTAAATTAAGTCGTTGGCAGTGCACATATATCATTGCTATTTGAATTCTGCCTTTTTTCTGAACAGTTGTAAAGACAAATAAAAGCAGTTATAATGGGACTCCTTGTAAGGCAAATTAAATCATAATTGCGCGTTTAACACGACTATAAGCAGGTCAAAGCTCAATATCAGTTATTACATAAACAATGCATCACCAGGCCTCCTTCAGGTTACATTATGCTTTGCGGCTTTATGACGATTTTGTATTCTTTAATTTTGTTATTTCACAATAGAGAATGGTTCTAGATTATGTCAGCTGTTGCAAGGTAGCATGAACGAGTTTCTCATTCACTAACATTTTATCAATCAGACTAAGCTCCCAACTAAGAGCTATAAGTTTCTGTTTTAATTTCACACAATGAACCATACATGCCATACTAATCAAGCAAGGCTTTTTGACTAAAGAAAGCCGTCTTGAAATACACTGTAAACCAATGATCTCGATGAAACTTTTCAATCATTAAGAGCTGTTGCAAGTCTCGACTTTAACTGTTTGAGTCATCTTTAAATGTGGTGAAAGGTAGAGCCGGTTGAACTGCACTTCAATTAATACCTTGGCAATTTGAAGGCTACGAAAAACAGGTGCTTTGCAGTTGCCTTCGTCACAACTGTACAAAGGTAGCCTTGCAAACATTTTGCCGCCAAAAAATTGGTGTTTGAGGAATTTAAATGACAGCAGCATACAATAGTTGTTTATTAATGTTGCTATCCTAAATTCACATCTCTCACTACAATTGTCTGCTGGTTTTCTGACCGTAGTGTTTGTACATGTATCGGATATAATTCTTCTTACTCGAATGAAATAACAAAAAACAAGCAAACGTCTGCCACAAAAATAGAAAATCAAGGAGATTTAATGAAGCAAAGTGGGATGAGTTTCTATCGAGACATGCTGAGAAAATGCAAAATTAATTTTCATGTGTCTTGTGGTGGCGGCAATGAGCGACTTGGTGACAACGTGCTGGGCATCAGACCAACAAAAACAAAAACAAAAAAACTCAAACACAGTCTATGATGACTGTAGCTTGAATTACCACACATGTTCATGTGTTTAACTTAGTTCTTCTAACTTAAGTCATTGTGTGACATTTATGTATGGCAGTTCAGATTTACGACCTTTGAACCCAATGCAGCTTTCAGACTGCTGAAGTGATCGACTAGTGTTTCATAATTTGTTTCCTTGTATTGAAATTTTATCGGCGTTCAAGACGAGAGTTAAAAAGGCAACATTCAGTGTGGAGACAAAAGACCTTATCCACCCCCTCTTACCCCCCGAAAAAAATATATAACGCGAAAAACATTCATCATTGACTGCTAAATGTTAATTTCCTTCAATTATCAGGTAGTTGTACGAAGCGCATGCTCCGAAATTCAAACAATCAACCATGCAATGTCAACATATCAATTCTCCTTTGTTTTCTTATAGGGTTAGCTGGGAGAATCTGTTTACGTATATAGAGTACAATATCACAGGAAAAGAAAGGATTTGAAAATCACTTTTAAGACCAGAACTGATGATCTAAATCAAGACTGTTTCATAAAAAGATCCTTTGTCATTTTACGTAAAATAAAACGCACCGCAGAGAACAGCGTGTTTGAGGGGAAATTAAAAAAAATTCTTGACTTATTGAGCTCTGTATAGACAAAACAGCAATAAACAATAGAAGAACTCTTGCATTGAAACAGCTAACAGCTTGAAATGTGTGTAAGCTTTGTTGTTAAGTTTTTGTATTGTTCAGAGTATTTCAACCAAGACTTCGGCATAAACTGTGTGTCCTCAGCGAGATTTGTGGCACTACGTGTGGAAATCTAGAATCCACGAGAAATAGATTTGAATCAGCACTTTTTGTTGTCATTTGGGCTTCCGGAGATTTCAAATTAGGTTCGTCACTTCATTGAGTTTAAATGACTTTTCCACAGAATTCGCAAGGTCAAAGTGCTTTTTATTTACATGTGACACAATGTGTAAAGAATGACTAAAATGCAGCACGCGGGACGGAGATGAATCTAAAAACTTCTGTTGCCTTCTCTCGTGGTCACGGCAACCGAGATAAAATAAATATCCGGCACTTGTAAATGGTATGAATTTCCCTCTCGACATTTTGCGGTGTTTTTGCTCTTTCATTTACTATTATTTATTTTTTTACATTCCTGTAGACGAGTACGGTAACTCACTCCTTTCAAAACGTGTTCAACCTTGCTTTGAATTATTTCCAGAGAGTTTCACGTATTACATGCCTTCTGTAATCAACTAAATAAAGAGACCGTCGCCTTCTTGATTCTTCTAATTTTCTGTGCTTGAGTGAACCAAAGCTATTTATGCAAATCACTTCGTCGGTAATCACGGCTCAAACGTGAAATTGCGTCGCAGAAACACGGACAGCATATTATCACACCAGATATGGAGTGGTTTTTTACTTCTCGCATCAGTGTTTTGACATCGCCGCTGAAGTAAAAATCTCTTAAACTGGCCAAACGATCTGAGGCTGGGACGAATGAAATCTCTGCCTCCGTCACGGGTCATTAAAACAACAAAAATATCCTAAAAAACGCAGCAATATTCCCATAGAGAAACTTTCCATGTGATTATACATCATTTGTTTTGTGAACGTCTCACCAGTACGAACTTCAACAATAAATGACTGGGAAAGTGGTTTACGAAGTGGCTGATAATCGTTTGCAGCTCTTCAGCAATAAATTTACTTAAGTTTATCATTGTGTAAATTCATAAATATGGAAGTAGTCCAATTCAAGGATTCCCAAAGCCTATGTACGTGACAAAACAAATAATAACTTACTTTTTCCTAAAGGAAAACATTCATACGGACATTTCAGTGTGTCACAACTAGTGGAGAAAGTTTTGGATACTAAACTTGCTTCAGGAAAATTCCTGTTTCAATGGGTATTTAAAACTGTTAATGGCATGCAGTATATTTTTCTATAGTGCAGAATTCTAAACATTACTTTTATTTCACTCACCAGCCGATGGGGCTTCTTCGCTGTAGCGATGTGAAAAAGTAACTGGCGTTCCATGGCCGTTCAAACCAATATCTCCACCTTTGGTCTTTGTACCGAGAGAAATGTCCGGCTCGCTACCAGTGTCGACAGAGGACCCTGACGACAACGTCCCTACAAAACACGAATAGTGCAGAACAATCAGTCGAAGGAATGAAAAAGTGTACGCCAACAGCTTGAAACTGAAAGCTTCGTGAATGAAATGTCCTTACCTGACTTTTTACGGCAGCAGTACCACACTAATGCGGCAATCGCAGCGATAACGAGTATCGTGCCAATCGTGCCAAACACTGAAGCAAGTATAGCACCAGTGCATTCTGAAGCGGCTGTAACACAGCTGATTTGGCAGAAGAAAATAAAGCACACCAGAAGGGTGATCTTACAAGCCATGCTTTTCAGTTTCCAAAGCTTAGCCAAGTTGCGCCATGAAATTTGCGAAGACGTTCACAAGCCTTGTCCACCTTCAAAGTGTATGCCAAAATAATTATCTGGAGTCCCCAGAGAAATATACTTATTTATGGCCTGAAAAAGCCCATTCAAATTAGCTGGATTGAATATGTCAATTACTGAGCGATACCGCGCGCTCATTGGTCTTTTGGTGTTACTGCTTCGTTGACTTTTGTCTTGCAATAAAATGATTGTGGAATATTTGGAATGTTTCCCGATGTTGAGCGCTTACGAAACAAATCGTAAGCGCAAGAGACAGTCTTTTCATGCGAAAACTCAGGGCAACTGAATTCAAAGTTGCACGTTGTGTGAAGTGAATATTTCGAGGAAAAAGGGAAAGAAGCATGTACGTTCATTGTAGAAACATAATTGTGAATTAAGCAAAACAATAATTTGGAAAACACCTGTAGGGTTTTTAAGCTCAACTCAACTCAAGAATAGAAAAACTCAATTTTGCGATAGAGTTAGTATCAGCCATGTTTTCTACCAACAACAACTTTTTTTGTTGGTCTCTTTTCTGTGGATTGCATAACATCTAAATCCGAGGTGAATATTGGAAAGGCGCTTTGTATTGTTTAAATTCTGCAAAGGTTGTATTCACATCATAAGCAATTCACTGTAATAGAAAGAACAGTCAATTTATCCGGCACTGACACAATGTCAAAGCCATGAACAACTCAACATTTGTGTAGAAGTGTAGTTTTCTGTAATGGCGATATTTATTTCAGTGTCTGTGGCTTTTGAAACACTTTCCTGCTGGTAAAGTGATTCCCCTGCGGACATCTTGAAATTCCCAAGCGGATATTTGTCAGATGCTACATATATATGGCTTACTATGCAATGAACCATTACAATCAGCCACTGCCGCTAAAAATTGAAAAGAACACCAATGCGATAATATAAGATACCGTTTCAGAATTTATTTTCGTTGATCTTAGGAATCCATAATCTAGAAGAACCCACGCGGCTCTTTCAAATCTTGGAAACTACTCCAGATTGAAACATCCTCGGGTTTTCTGGCATGTTTATTATAACATAAATAACAAAACACATTTTGAAAAGTAACTTGAGAACCCAGTAGCCTTCTTAGCATCCAGTCCTAGTAACTTCATAAACGTTATAATCCAGTCTGGTTTCACAGACTGTTCAGCGTTTGCCACAAGACGTTCCCAGACGTTTCCAGTTCACAGTTCTACAAACATTAAAATTCCTTGCATATTTTAAGAGAAATATTGGACCATATTGATAGTGCAAGCCAGGGCATGTAAACACTTAAATCAGAATTCTGTAAGCTGAAGCCATAATCTGCGGCATATTCGTGCAAGTAGGGTTGCAATCTTCATTTAAAGCTTTCTTTTCCTGTTTCGGTGTCCGATGAGAGAGATCATGTTTGGAAACAATTGTTTCGTTGTTTTGAACAATGAGGCTCTGCAATAAAACAACTTCATTGTGTCTATTTTAAGCACCGATTTCTAAACAAATATTAGCAAAGTGGAACTTATCTCCAGTAATTTAAAGAACGAAGATGTTGACTGCAAAAGTAAACTAATTTAGGGTAACAGAACAATACCAGCTACTATTTAAAATGTGTCTGTATCAGTTCTTTATGGCAGGTATACATCGCAAGAGCTCTCAAGAATCTGCGTCAATCTCGCCCCTTTGTTAATATATATCTTGCTCATTAATCTTGACCGCCGTGAAGTTTTACTAAGGTGGAATTTAGCTCGTATATTGTCTGAGATCATTTTCGACTGCACAATACAGGATTTTTTCTCTCATCTTTGAAGTTTTTAAACCTCATTTAAAGAGATGACAGATGTATTGAAAAGAAAGAGGCGTCACTAATTATACCATTCTAGAGTAAACAGAACTGCAAAAGAATTTCAAGTATTGTCTTAACAGACCGCGGGCTGTAACCTCATCTTGAACCAATTAAAACTTAAAACCGCCAATAAGTTGAACTGCAAGATAGAGATGAAAAAATGAGTTCTGACTTTGTTGAATTTTTTCCCCAACATTTAAAGGGAATCAAGAATTGTTATTAGTGGTGGTTAGTGATCGCGCGTCCGTGAAATTAACGTCGTGCGCGTGTCGCGTTATATGCTCGCTAAACCACGAACGGTCGCGACACTCGCCTAACTCGTCATTTGATTGGTATATTTAAACTTTAAAAACTATTGTTAAATTAATTTTAAATAGAGCGTGTGCTCCAGTGGAGACCTAAAAGAGCGATTCAGACACGAGCTACAAACAATGAATGATTTTACAACTGGACTGCACAAGCGTGATCAGACATGAACTATAGCCACGAGGTACATATAGTGTTTGGAACGCTGCTTTATTTGTAAATACCTAAAAGGCATCATGTTTTTCTCGCTACAATTTATAAATGGAAACCTTTGCCTTTAGCTCGACACTCCTACAACAACACTAGATTGTAGAGAAGATTAGTGCTACTTGAAGTTATCTGCCTCAAGGCTGTTTCCTACTTATTTTAATTTGTTTTTCAAACGTTTGTTGTATTTCAAATTCATTAATTATAGAGCGGTTAAAGGCGCGGCTTAACGCTTTAACGGATATCGTCTGTGTTGACTGTTTAAAAAAACGAGTCCGCGCACAAAAATAGCACAAAACATAGCACAAACGAGTGCAGTAATTCTTTATTTAGCATTCGTTTAAATTGCCTCTTGGTTAATATTGATACGTCGTATTGAATCGCAGAGTTTTGTAGCGTCACACAGTAACATTAGAAAACGTAGTGAAATTATTTCAATCTTACTGTGATCTAAAGCCATTTTTTTATGTACATATTACTCTTTCAACACTGTTAGAATAACTTAAGGTGTTTCGAGCAGCTTTTGCAGAGTAATCCATTTTCTCAATTTTCTTTGGAATATAAATTTCAGTTTGTTTATCGTAAGTATCAGGTAACAGTTGAAACGCCAGTGTTCCACGTGCCTCTCAGTCCTCAACTGAAGACGAAATTCAGATACATCTCTTTACGAGAACTGAGGCGCTGTTGAACTGAGAAAGAAAAGACGTAGCATTTAAGAAACTAAAACTCATAGCGCGGTATTGTACCAGCGCTCGCCTCTCTCTTATGGACTTTTCCGCCATTTTATTTGAAAGTTCTTGTACTCTGTGGCAGTGCTCTCCTTGATTACAACTGCAGACGAGAACAGAATCAATTTCAACACGGCGATCTGGCTCTTTCCATTAGGTGTACGGTACATTTCTAGAGCCTCTCACTGCTTTTATATCCTACTCCTCCAGTGTAAACAAACGATGTAATGTGAGGAAAAAAAAACAGACCTCTTTACTAGATATTGCGGTATTGCAATCCGTTTATCCGCAAGAAGCACAGTTAGTTATCAGCGTGGCAGCACTTCGCAAGTAGAAATAATTCTTGCTAATGAAATCAATAGCAAACTTTTCTCTTTGAGTTTAACAGACATTAATTAAGGTTTACTTTACAGACATTAGGTGACAATAGTTACCTTGTATAGGACTTTCTGGCAACACGACGCTACCCAATACAAAATGTTGATGTTGCTTTTGACCAAAATGTCGTTATCATATTTAAGTACGTGCCATCTCAATAGCTACCACATTTTACATACAGGACATATCAGACTACTGCGTCTATCGATCAACACTGCTGGGTATTATCCAAATCAGTTTTGCCACGAGGATCAGTTAAACTTGCGTTGGTTGTCGTTGAACTGCACTCGCCTGCGTGAAAAACAGGTGGAATTCATGACACATACTTTCTTCTGTAAATCGGCGTGGATTTACAAAATCTGCCAACTGAAGTCGTGCAGTCAACAGCTTGAAGGAGTACAATTTTGTTCAGTCCGCTGTGAAGAGTTCCATTTTCGCTAAGATTTCTCATGTAGCGTGTTCTGGGGAAAACTAAATAAGAAAGGCGTAGACCACGACTGATAACTGTCGACGTTGAAAGTATTCACTCCATTTACTTTAGTTTATTTATTTTAGTTCATATTGAATTAGCTTCCTATTGTGGAAGGGGTTACCCTAATGTGCTAAAGCAAGTACTTTGTTGACGAGATATAGGCAAATAATTCATCCAGACTCATTACTACATTAGTAATATAATCACTGAATAGTGACATAGTATTTTGTCAGGGACCTGGCGTTTTAGATTCAAATGCCGGTCTCATTTATAACATTTACACCATAACGTGATTACACACTGGAGTTTTATGCTACGGAAATCGATTCAGGCTCGATTGAAAATTTTCCGCGAGAACGGCCCTTTGGTAACTTACACTGCCTGGCGTGAATATGTTGAATACTGTGGAATATCGAACCCTTGATTTCTCGAACCTCCCGATTAATTTACTCGAACCAAAAATCGTTTCCCTCCAGGACAAGCTCCACTCGAACACTGTATTTTACTCTCGGTTTCTCGAACCAATTCTTGTTTCCCCTTTAGGTTCGAGAAATTGGAATTCCACTGTAAATCTAAGTATACTGTATTCACTGGAGAATGTGTTGTGTCTCGATTGTGTCAAGTACTTCACTCAGCCATTGACGCAAGTCTGTCTTTGTTCTCGTATGCCCGTTATTTATTCTCAACAACCCACTATTTCCTGAAGCGAATGTTTGCTCCTTTTTAACTTGTACAAAGGCTATGGGCGGCTTGCATTACATAAGAAATTATTTTTAACTAGTTAAACTAGCTAGTTTAATAGAATTTTGTTATATATACACTGTAGTTTAATGTGTCAAGGAAAAATGTTTGTGGATTGCGAAGCGCCGATCATTTGGTTCCCGTTTAGTTGCTTCATGTGCCTTTCATTCAACTTGGTGAAGTAAGAACAGCTTCAATTCCTCCAGTACTAGTACAAGCTACGAGCTAAAACTAATTTTAAAACAGAGTTCAACCGCTACAATCATCAAGTACTGAATTTTTTTTTTTCGCATTGGTTGACTTTACGTGAGATGCGATAAATATCGGAAACTTTGGGAGACCGCTCGCCCTTTAAATTCGAGTACTATTAGAGCGGAAAATTTCATGAATTCTTAACTATCTCTACAAAATAAGGTTCACATTAGATAATAATAGGACATGCCGGAGACTTTGATTTTCAGTTCAGTGTTCTTGACTTGCAATTGACGTTTATTCCTGAATGTTTTAAGGTTATTCTCCAGTATTGCATCGCGCATTCCTACTGCGCATAATTTCACGCGTGATTAGCGCGCTCGCATTAAAAAAAGGCGGCTTTTTCTTTACAGGTGGACCTCGCCATAGAGGTAAATTGTCATTTTCTCGCAAACGAGTATGGTGACCTATCTTTTTTTTCTGTTGTTTTGTATTGAGTTTTATTTCATTGGAATGACCTTCAAAAGAAGGACGTCCTTCCTTTAAAGCAGGAAGGAAATACGAACTATCACGGACCTTACTTCAATTATTACTTAATGACATATTTCATAATACCGGACATCTCTCTTAAGCGGACGCTTAGTAATGGCCCTAGCCACATATAAACACTGCATTTTTAACCTCCTATATTAGAGGACACCTTTCTTCAGCGGACCTCTTTTTCTGGTCTCTGGGCTGTCCGCTAACGGGACATCCACGCGCTTACTCTGCGTTAACTGTAATAGTTACTATCCTCATTTCAATCCGTTAGGATGGCGTCTGCAGCTTGATCTCATAGTGCGACCCCGCCGATCATGGCGCCCTACATTATTACGCGTGATGGTTAATACAGTTTGTTACATTTGTGGCTGGTCCATTTATTAAGTTAAGAGTGAATTGTTGTTACATATATGGATGTAGGTACCTTTGATTTATAGAATCCCTGTTTTGTTAAAGTTATTCGGAAAAATAAAATAACTAATAAAATGCTCAGATGTCAGAAGAAAACGTTTTCTAAGAAAGACTTCATGTTCCGCGTGCACTAGATGGGACAATCATATTAAACGTTGAACCGGTGTTACTAGTAGCTAAATATAACATAATCTACTGTAAGTATCACGCATTAATTTATGGTATCCTAAGAAACAAAGCGAAAATCCACCGTTCAAAGACAATATCTTTTAGAAGTTACAAGAGCTTTGACGCAGAGGTATTCAAAGAACATTTGTCTGTAGCTCCATGGCATGTTGGTGAGATATTTAGTGAAGTAGATGATAAAGCCTATTATTGGCAGCTGCTAATGAAAGGAATTGTTGATGAACATACTCCGATGAAAAGAATGCGTGTTCGAGAAAGAGACGTCCCATATATGACGACTGAATAGAAAAATGCCATCCGTGCGAAACGCAAAGCGACAGCAAAATACTTGAAGAATAACACACAAGAAAACTGGGACAATAAGCAAAGATGTCGAAATGAAGCCACACGCCAAAGAAGAAAAGCTATTAAGAATTACTGGAAAAGAAAAGCTCACGCCCTTCAGGATGATCCGAGAAAATTTTTTAACACCTTTAGACCCTTCTTAACGGACAAAGGACATGCAGGAGAAACAGAAATCCATCTGGACGATGGTGGGTCAATTGTGAAGGAGCAAAACAGAGTTGCTGAGCTACTCGTAGACCATTTTTCCACAATTGCTGACGGTATTGGAGGCAACAAAATAAAACTGTCAACCATGAATGAGTTTGCTGCACACCCTAGTGTAAAAAAAATCAGGAACTCTATGAGATCAACTTGGAAGTTTGACTTTAAACAGATAAACAAACAGCAAGTATGCGAGGTCCTAGAAAAACTTGATGCGAACAAAGCGACCGGATATGACGCTATCCCCATAAAAATGATGAAGATTGGTGCCTCAGAACTAGCTCGTCCACTCTCCGTAATATTCAACGCCTGCATCGAAGAAGGAAAATGGCCAAATGAATGGAAAAAAGGAGAATGGACACCTGTCTTCAAAAGGGGTGATCGCTGCATGAAGGAAAATTATCGACCCGTCACAGTCCTTTCTTGCGTAGATAAAGTATTTGAAAAATTGTTGGCCAAGCAAATCACGATAAATTTTGAAGAATGTTTGGCAGATGGCCTCACCGCTTACAGGAAGAATAACAGCTGTGAAACCACCCTTGTGAGCTTAGTAGAATCGTGGAGACTGGCAATGGATAATCGCCAGTGCACCAGTATCTTATCCACAGATATGTCGAAGGCTTTCGACTGTCTCCACCCTCCGCTAATGCTAAGTAAATTGAAAGCTTACGGATTCGAAGATAATGCGATAAACCTACTGCGTAGCTACTTATGTGATCGATACAATCGGGTGAGAATGGATTCCCTTACAAACGCGTATAGGTGTACAAGTCGAGGATGCCCGCAAGGATCCGCACTGGGGCCCCTCCTTTGGAATATTTTCCAAAATGATATGACGTATAATATAACCTCACCCCTATCGATGTATGCTGACGACCACCAGATCTACGAAACAGGGACAGACTTACATTCTGTCACCACAAAACTAAAGGAAAGCGCTGCTCTCGCTACCGAGTGGTACGACTCCAATTTGTTGGAAGGAAATCTTAAAAAGTATCAGACTATGAACATCTGTAGCAGTGGTGCCAACCAGTACCACACAGATGTGATTAATATAAAGAACACTGAAATCAGTCCATCGAATAGTCTGACTGTTTTGGGAGTAACAATAGATGATAAACTAAGCTTCAGAGACCACATCACTACTATATGTAAAAAGGCCAGCCAGAGAATAGGAGTCATCATGAGACTAAAAAATCTTATCCCAACAAAAGCCAAGGAAATTACGCGTAGTCAGAAAATTTTGCAGTTAACAGGAGAAAATAAATTTGCATGTCTTCAAGCCACCGTGTAGGTTTCTTCATTATATAGACACTAGTGTTAAAAGTGTAAAAAGCCGTGAAATACGGGAAATAATCTTGTCAATGTCCTTACCAGTGAGGATGTGGAAAATGCGCCAGTAGTTTCATATGAATTTTAAGAGTGTTGTATTTTCCAGTAAAACACTCTTGTCTAAATAATAAAGCCCTATTTCATACTGGAGTACATGATAAGTCTACCTCCGGTCATTTCCCACAGTCCTGGAGAGCTGATAGTCAGGCTGACACCCCTCGACAGTATGAAATAAAAACCAGAAAGAAGAAGAAGAAAAAAGGAACTTTTGAGGTAAGACACCGTGAAACTGCGAAGATTGAAGAACATTTTATCTTACAATAATCACAGACAAGTTATTTCTAATTGGGCCAGTAAAATAACTATTGAAAGATATGCAATTTGTTTTCATTCGTTATTATCAAGACGACCTCAACGGGCAGCAATTCAAATAAATGACAAATTTTTAGTTATTGCTATACAAAACTAAGTGAACTGCGACGGTAAATTATTCAGTCCAACCCGCTCACATGGCACCTGCTAACTTTAAGTTCCCACCCACGAAAATATTGAGGCTACTATTTTTTAGCGATTTCCTTCAAGATTATTTTAGCGACATCTTAGAATTTGAAATCTCTTAGCTCTGGTTAAATCGAATCGCTAGTGGAGGCCGGTTTTCACGTTATATCGACTAGAATTACGATGATGTGCGTTTGCATTGGTTGAGATCAACTTGTCATGTTTTCCACTAAATTTCTAAAGTAAGACGGCCAGCAAAGTAGTAGCCTCACATGGAAATATTATTTTAGACTCTGAGGTTTACAATAGTTCCTCTGTGGTAATGTATGATCAACACAGGCAAGATGAGCTAAGCAAGACTAGCTACTATGCATTGTCTACTGAACTTGGGGTGGGGTGCACGCTGAAGATAACCTGGGTGCTTTAAACAAGGTACAGTTGACTCCCGATAACTCGAACCCTCGCTAACTCAAACCCCCCGCTAACTCGAAGTAATTTTCATTTCTCTTCAGGCCATTTTCTATATGACTTTACCCTCGATAACTCGAACTCCCGATAACTCGAACCTTTTACCATTTCCCCAGAAGGTTCGAATTATTGGGAGTCGACTGTATACGCCGAAATAAAAAGCATTATTCTATTAAAATAACTGATGCTTAAAATCTTTACTTGCAACATCCTTAATTTTTCCTATAGTATTAAGCGTTTGTTATAGATTCTCTGGAAACTCTAAATCTATTAGATGACGTAAGTCTTTGATAAGGACAATACTGAGTGAACGTCATATAGAAAAATCAACTTGAATCAAAATAGTACGTTCAATTCTCTTAGCGGTTTATTCTTAAACCGGTCAAGGATCAGTTTTCTTCATAAAAGCTCTACCTTTTTGGGTGAAGATGTAAATCAGGTGGACAATTTTGACCCATGTCCGGATTTCCAGTAACGCATTACACAATCAAATACACTTAATACACCTGCAAGAAGATTAGCCCCCCTCCCGTCAAAAAAGTAGAGGGAGCGGATGTACACAGCCTCCAAGAAGATAACAAAAAAGAGGATCAAAACAAATCTTGAAGTTGCCAATTCCCCACCGAAGTCGGCATCTAACAAATCGCTCATATTTGTGCAATATTCAGCTTAAATTTAGATTTCGTCTTCTATTATTTTATCTAACATTTCAATCGACCGGTGACTTGTTTTGCCAGGGGCAAACTTAACGGCGGCTGAAGTCACTCTATCGAGGCAAAGATAACCCTCAAAACCAAACCTGGGTTCAGTTTTGTTACATGTTTAATTTAAAGCAATTTAAATAGAATGGATACGACAGTTTGGTAGCGGTAAAATCAAATCTTATCGTTTAGGTTCCATCTATGGGTAAAAAGCACTATGACCAGGTTATGTAAGACTATGGACGTGGACTAACAATGATTCAAGGACTTCTGGCGAAGCAACGCATTCAGACCAAGGTAAAACAACTTCCAATCAATTTGTGTATAAAAACACGTAAAATTAAATACTAAACCTTTGTCTTAAAAAAGTAACTAAAACGTACACGGTGTGTAATGTCTCTGTATTCACAGAGTGCATCTTCCCTCCAGCCAGGATAACGGCGTATGTTACTATGGCAACAAGCAAAAGTACCCTCAATCCAGCTCGCTTCCTTCAATGGCTAGTGAAAGCAAAACAACATGAAGGTATGTGTACACGGTTGTGCTGAAAGCTAGAAACTTCTGGGACCGTGACGACTCATCATTTAACACTTTCATTTAACGTTTTCTGGCATGTGTACGTTGTATATTATGTGGAAAATAGACAGAAGTGCACGCATTAAACGAAGAATCTAACTTGCTTAAGATTTTAAATTTTCGCAGAGCTTTTATGCTATGGTAAATCTAATGATCTCAGGCAATTTCATGTAAATCAGGCGATATTTTCTTGACAGAAGACTTTCTGAAGTCTCCTCCGCCAGAAGAAATAAAATTAATAGAACTGAAAAAGGAGAGGTCGTCTCACCTGGCCCTTCAATGAAAAAAACTCTTGGCTTTACGCGAAGTCCGTCATCGTATTAAGTTTCAATTTTTTGTCCTAGCTTTGAAGGTTCACATTAAAGGTGAAATGGTGACCCCAGCTTTGTCTGGAGATATTGTTTAAAAATTCAGTCTAGAATTTATGTGAGTTAAAATTACCTTGAACGGATTTGACTGCCACTTAGAGACAAAAATATTACTAACGCTCCAATTTATTGTCATAATAATAGAAACACCCCGGGGAGAAACACCATGAATAACATGGTTCAAGATGTAACAATATAAAAGAAACTTGAACGAAAAACCAGTCACCACAACTTTGTCCGTGGAAAACTATTATATTGCTAAAGACTTTGACTTCTTTTAAACTGTGTAAAGACATAAAATCAGTTTCCTATGTGCGAAGAATGAATCTTCAATTACAACCTCTCGAAAATCGTTCCAAAGCATTTTTATCCTCGATGTCTCTGACGGGGCCAACTGCTCCACAGCGATAACAAAATGAACTTCGTCTATACAGTAGGTGACATTCACATGATTTTTCTAAACCCCTACTAACCCGAAAGTATAGATCAGCTTTAACTGTTCAAAAGTAGTCTCTTAATGTGCCAGCCCTAATGTCCCTAAATATTATGTTTTCTCCAAGTTTAAAAAGCTGCCGGTATAATAATAACAATGATCTTTTCTTCGATTTATGAGGCATTAATTAATAAGATTTTCTTTTAATTCTTCCAGAGAAATGTGATAACCCGCACCAAAGTGTTTATGAATCTTAGAGAAAAGCTTCAAACTATTCTTTTGGAGTTCACATTTTTGCAGAGATAGCTAGCTCTTGTGGCTGTCTTGAAATGTAGCGTGGGTGATTGTGCGGGAAGAGCACATGCTTGGTAAAGTGGGCGTATAATGATATATGCAATGCCGGGAAAACCTTTATTCCTTCACAGAAAATGTTATTCTTAAGACGGACTGCAAAAGAGAAATCTAGCGAAAACTAGTTGGAAGTGTTCGTTTTTGACTGAATAGAGAAATTTGGGTATAAAACATGTTTTTAAGTAGCAATGACACACAATTTATCCTTGGTAATCATTGGTAGGCGGAAAATGGCTTTGAGATAAACTTGAACAATCAAGTTACAGAGCATCAGTTTAAAGGCATTCTGTTTATGAATTACTAAACCATTCTGCTTGCTTCATAACAGATAACATTTTTCAGCTTCTTTACCTATAAATTACTAAAAATACATTCTTTCTTTGATTCTTAAAAGCTGTGTGGCGTGTAATTTCATAAATTTTGAAACACATTTCTTTCATCAAAAATGGCACCTGATTGGCTAATAACTACAGGAAACGAGTTACAGTTAGTCAAGCAGAAAATGGCTCTGAAAAGATTTTTGACCAATCACCATCTCCACCGCTATAAATGGGACAGCAAGACCGCAGTAACCTCACATTGCTCCAAGTGTTTACCAAGGAGCACAAATTCTAGGGACACTATCAGGAGGATTAAGGTAAGATTGTCAATACTTTTATCAAACTACAAGATATTCATTTCTCTGATTGACAACTTTCCGAAATTGTTAAACGATGATTTTTGAACAAAATGTTTTTTCTTTGCCATCCAGGATAATGATGCGTTTGTGGCATTGTGTGGTCCTAATTTTGCTGTTCTCCGGAGCCACTCAGGCAGCTAGGACAGGTTATTTACTTTAAAATCTACAACAGACGGCTTCATTAGTATATTTTTGCTTGAAATGTTTTATGTTTAAAAGTTTCTTATTTTGTTTTCCAATCACAGTCTATACATTCGAGAGTGCCTCTCATCTGAGTGCCTTTACCGCGTCATCGACATCAACTTTAGAGCGGACGAATACTCGTTATAAAGACGCAACACATTCTATGAAGTGGACCTGGGCGAGTGGAGACACAATCACACATTCATTCACAAGCGATGTCAGTAAATTTTTTACATAAAATGTCCATTGTTCAATGTTTTAGAATTCCAACAAACTTGTTTCATCACATTGTGAAAGGGATTCGTTATGTTTACCCATTTACCACGGTTGGTGTAAGCAAGTAGGGAAACGAGACCTAGTTTTGGTAAATCTTCGTCTACCGCAAACACCGGAAGAGCTTGGGTTCTTCCTATGTAATCACTTCACAACTCGAGCACTGGCGAGTAACCAAAACTTGGTCACGGCGACATGGCTCTAAAACTTAACGTTTTTGACTAAAACCAGGCCCTCAGTTAACTCCACTGGAAGATATTTTGATCAATTATACCACAGTGAACTTTTTACAAGAGAGATTGAGGAGCAATATATTAGAAAGAGAGTAGCTGTAACTTTAGCTGCTATTTCATTGTTAATGGTTTTATTTATGATGCTCCTATCAGAAAATTAAAGGAAACGAGCTTAGAAGAGGAGGAATTAAACTGTGGCTTTACAATACTGACAAACGCGTGGGACAAAATGAAAAATTGACCGTCTCTTTCCTTGATACACTGACCACGCCTGGCAATCCGACTACTGTATCGCAGTTCAAGATCAATCTGAATTTCAAGGTAATGTTTTGAACAAATCGTTTCCTTAGTAAACATACTGTGACAAGAGACCATGTGACCATAGCTTAAAAAGTCGTTAATGATTTTGTAAGTTTCGATTGAGTTACCACGCAGTCTACGTTCCAGTAAATGTTTTAAAGAACCAACCAACCAATTTAGTCGCTTCAAACTAATAAATGGAATATTAAAATTTTGTTTCTCTCTATTTCAGGGCTGGCGTGGAGTATGGGTCTCTTACCAAGAATCCAAATTGGTTTCCGGCCGGGATATCGACACTTTGAAAATAACAGCTCCGACAACTACCCAAACCACCCACCCCTTGTTTATCGACCTCTTGCGATTGGTGAGCAGCTTAAGCAAACAGACACGTGACGAGATAGTTCCAACTATTGGCCAGGGAATTTACACTCCGAATAACTTCTGGCAGCAAACTTATCGCTGGAGTCTGGTACGTTCTTGTAGAACCTTATGGAGCGTGTGTGACGATAAACAGCCCTTAGCCACTGGTTTTTTCTTGTTAAAGAGTAAATTTCTTATAAGTAACATTCACGATCAATATCACGAGTGGTTTGGGGAATAACTGTTTCCAGCGTATTCTTAACTGCAACAACTGAAAATATCTTGTAATCTTGGGGTTCTCAAGAATCTTTGCGGATTTTCACCTTCTATCAATTAGGATTGACATTCGAAAAACTTCCAAAGTGTTCAGATAATCTACAGTGTCCCCAATTAGCACAGTAGTGCTAAATACATTCGACACTTAAATAAAGTTATTATTATTTTTATTATTTTATTATTAATTGAAAATCTTTGGAAAGTCTCGAGTGACCCTCGGACCCTATTAGCGATCAACTGCCGATTTCGTCTTAAGCCAATTATAAAAAAGAGTAACGCTTTCAAGTTTATCAACAAGGACAATAGTAGTTCTAGAACTGTCGATCGCTGGTGACTCAGTTTCGAAAACCTGAGTGGAACTCATCTTCAGACTCCAGTGAAAAGGTTTTGATAGCTTTTGTAACAGTAAATGTTTAAAGAAATGTATTGTTAAATTTCGATTGTTTTTAAAAGTAGACACTTAAGCCTGGTTCACACTTGTGAGATAAGCATAACACCAGTGAAATAAGCATAAGCGCAAGCACAAGAGCAAGAAACATGTTCCTTTTTCTTGTGCTTACGCTTGTGCTTATTTCACTTGTGTTATGCTTATTTCACAAGTGTAAACCAGGCTTTAGATTGCAGTTACTTTTTAATGGGATCTCTGTTTAGATTGGACTATCCAGTTCAGCCATGCTCTCTTTCTTCCATAATCGCAACTATTTTAACACAACAGGCCACTCCGACAAATATCACCGAATCTACTCCTAGTCAGGACAAATTGGATGACTTGGCCCTCATCGAAAAGCGTTTGGAGAATTGGTTTGTTAAACAGTCACAGAGTTCAGTCCAGTTTACAGGCAATGTGAGGAAGAGATTTGAGTCCCTACCGGTGGCTAGTTCACACGTGGAGTTCGGTCAACTACAAATTGCGAAAAGCGCAGAGGGTATTATCACAGGTATGGGATATTAAGCAAGAACAAACAGAGAGGCTTTTTGAATTGAAAGTGCACTTCAAGTGACAGAATGAAGGAAGTCCTAAATAACCCCCCNCAATAGTTGGGCAATGTACTTTAAATTTTCACTTCGAACCTAACGACGAAGCCTAGTGAAAACAGTCCTCAAATATCAACATGTAAATATAGTTGTGAAGTACGCGAAAAACTCGCGTCGCAATATACAAACCACCATAGGGCGCTGTGCACGCCTTTTTATCCAAAGACCCAAACGAAACAGTTCCAGTTACACACTTTCATAGAACTTTCTTTTCATCTCATCAGGTACTCCTCTGTTCGCTAAACAATCTGAGTATAACCACAGAGAGTTTGGTTACGTCATACCAAAAGTGCTGCTTCCAATGGCGCTAGATTACCACATAAGATCTCGTCAAAACGATATTAACGACACAGCCGCAGAAGAACTGTCCAATCTGAATGGAGAAGCTGAAAGTAAGAATGCAGCAATAAGGGTACGTTTTACGTTCTGTGTAGCTCGCCTGTCTCTTCATTCGTTTTCTTTGTTTCATTTATTTCTCAAGACATTTAGGATAGTTTGTATTTTTCATTTATAATTGTTCCTGACAGAGAATAGCGGGTGCCGACCAAACCATGCAACAGACATTCACAAACGCTCTGGGTTCAACTCCGTACACTTTAGAGAAGGTCAAGGAGGCCATTGCCACACTCAACAACAAGCGCAAGGAACGCTTGCTACTTGTCTTAGACTATATCGAGGATCAAGGTGAATATTTTGTCAAAGAAATTCTGAAATCTGTTTAGCTATCGAAACTATAGATTACATCTCGCCTTCTCTCCTTCTTTTAGTTGTGACAAGTTGTGCAAAAAATAACAGTCACTTTTTGCGTATGTTTTCGAAAGAATTGCTCCAGTTGCTACATACGAGACTTATTTCTCAACTAAGCCTTGCATACAGCAGTTGCACCTGGCAGTTGCAGTACGACCAGGCCTCTGCTAACACTTGACTCGAGAATACGGGGCTTTGTTAACGAACAACAACTAAGATGTGAAGGTGAATTAATCAACATGACACGAGCGTGGGTCAAAGAAAATTCTGAGTCCCCGACAGGAATCGAACCCATGACCTCCCGAACACCGGGCGGGTGCTCTATCCACAGAGCTACGAGAAATCATGGAGAGCAAGGTCATTTAACTGATTTCATATATCAAGGTCTCATGGAGAACAAGGCCATTTAACTGAGTCCTAGCAGTATGCAGGACACCTGTCATATATGAAATCAGTTAAATGACCTTGCTCTCCGTGAGTTCTCGTAGCTCAGTGGATAGAGCGCCCGCCCGGTGTTCGGAAGGTCATGGGTTCGATTCCTGTCNGGGGACTCAGAATTTTTCTTTGTCTCACGCTCGTGTCATGTTGATTGATTCACCTTCACATTTCATTACCGAGCTTAAAATTCACCATCATTATTAACTTATCACAACAACTAAGATATTTTTGCTCAAAACAATGCAGTTGCTTTACTACCTGGTGACACCTGGCGGCCACATTTTGGCGCCAAATTTAAGCTTGGAGACACAAGAAGTTTTATATTGTTAATTTTTTTTATAATCTGTTATGATTTCTAGAATTTTAAATCTCTTTTCGTGAATATCAATGCAGCCTCCACAGCGAGAAAGAGATCCGCTTAAATAGCCTGTTAACATGCATGTGACGACAGGACAGCACAGTTTCTCTCGGGTGATGATGAACACTGATTAGTTTATTAAAATTTTAGACGCAATGGCCGTGTGCAAGGAGAATTTTAGTTTCCCTTTGTGATGGCTCCATATAGTTTCTTTGGACGCCTAGTTGGAGTCGCTTATTTAACATGTCACGCGTTTGAACCCTTATCCATCGTATCTCTCAATCTAAGGTTTCACTGACGGCAGCGGGCTTGGTACCTTGGACCATGAAATGAACAACGCGGGGGCAGGGTTTATGACTGCAGCCTTTCTCCTAAGGAAAGAATTACAAGCCGCGGGAAAGTTATCTGACTATGTTGCCACCATGAAATGGTACAACGACTTCGGCGAGATTTACCAAGCTCCATTTGAATACGTTGGTACAACCGCTGATCGAATGAGAACTATTTCATTGTGGAGGTAACTTATTTTTTTTTAATACCAATTTTGTACAGAGATTTTGCTGCTTTAAGAAATACAACGAAATTCCAGTTCTTGCTATCAGTTATCCTCGGTATAATAAATTCAGGCTGCAGAGACACGGCGTGTTTTTTACATGACGGGAGTTGATGTACATGCATAACAGGGGTCATAAGGCTATTCTTCTTTCATTCGGTTGAGTTTGTCTACTTGCATTTTTTACAAGTTTTCAATTTTCCTAATTTTTCTCAAGTTTTAAGTACGTTAGGAGGCGCGGTGGCCTTGTGGTTAGTGCGCTCGTCTCTGGATCGAGCGGTCCGGGTTCGAGACCTAGCCGGGGACGTTGTGTTGTGTTCTTGGGCAAGACACTTTACTCTCAGAGTGCCTCTCTCCACCCAGGTGTATAATTGGGTGCTGACGAACTTACTGCTGGGGATAGCCCTTCGATGGACTAGCATCCCATAGACCCAGGGGGGAGTAGAACTACTCATTGTCGCTTCACACTACAGAAACTGGGGTAAGCTGCGGCCTGGCTCGTATGCAGACTACCTAAGATTTTGTTCTTATGGCAGATTATTTGCTGTCCTTATGATGCCTACCTCCACAACAAAAGAAAAACAGGAGAAAATTCGTGACATGAAAGCACTTGGCCGATGGTACGCCAACGCCTTATCTCCAAATGAAGGTTTTGCAGGAACACTTAAGCCTGACTACGTTGGTTACCATCACAACAGTTACTATGCTTCTGCTTACACACCCCATGCTTTACACAAGGCTGCACTCATTCAGTACCTGCTTAGCGGGACAGAATTTGCATTAGGTGAGAATTATTTATCTTCTGAAGGGACAAAAACACTCCTTGTCCCTGCATCACCTTAGATTAGATTATACAGTGGAATCCCGATTTCTCAAACCCTCATTTTTTCGAACCTCCCGATAATTCGTTTCTTTTTTCTTAGTCGAACACTGTTATTTTACCGCCGATTTCTCGAACTCTCCGATTTTTCAAACCAATTTTCGTTTCCCGTGGAGGTTCGAAAAACCGGGATTCCACTGTGGATTAAATCAGTGCCAAATAACTTGTGGTTTTGTTGCTGATGAATTTCGTTTTTCCTTCTTTATTCTGCTCGAACATCACAAGAAAGTTTTTGTGATCTCGTAACTTGTAGTTGAAAAGTTAATTGTCATTTATCTTCTCCTGTAAAAGGCGCTGAGACGGAGGGAAACATTAAGAAAGGACTTGAAGTAATGAGGATTGTCTCTGTTAAATATTCTTCACCAAACAGCGTCTCAGGTCGCTTTCCAGGATTCAGTCGCGTAATTCTGGCAAAGTCCTTCCCTGCTTATGCTTATGCTGCTGCCACTGCTCCAGTTTTGAACGATGACGGCTCTTTTGGTGAAATTTCTACTTTCAACAATGAAACCCTCCAGATGTTTTTGCGGCTGTACGACACAACGGAAAAAGCGGTTAACGATTACCTGGGAGATGGAGCGATTTTTACTAATATTTATTATCTGAATTCCATTGGCTCGGTTAACATCATGGAGGAAATTCACAAAAAGGCCAATGCAATGAGCATCCAAGCAGAGAGCTCTCCCCAAGGATGTTGGACCAAGAATTATGCAGCATTTATCATCCAAAGACGAGAAGACTGGGCGGTCACTGTTAAAGGATTCAACAAATATATTTGGGACTTTGAAGCTTCAGGAAAACAGAATGTCTTTGGGCTTTATCAGAGTCATGGCGCGTTACTTGTAGCAAACAGCGAGGAGGCTCTTTTAACGCACGATATCGACAATGGCTGGGACTGGACACGACATCCGGGTACTACAACTATCAAAATGGATCTCGATCAGCTGATAAGCGATAACCGCAGGTTTGAATAGAATAATTCAATTCATTCAGTTCTTTTATTTACACTACGTAGATATCTATCTTTCTTTTATTTACACAGCAGAAAACATCAAACAACACAGTACATTGCAATTGACTGATTATAATGACGCCAAGTCTGACATTAAAAACAACCCCTAAAAACCTACATGTGGTGTGCATGTCAAACATGAATTTGCAGACTGCGTTTGTCCCTTTCTATAATGTCATACGTCTTCGTTATGCTTATGTTAGCAGAGTGCTTGTTATTTTGCTTCTTTTGTAAAATAGATAGTCATTGATAAAAATCCACACTCACGGCTTATTTACAACTACAAACTGCTCCCTTAAAACTACCACTCGATCAGCTATCGTTTTTACAGTAGTTATCCGCTATAACTGTTCAAAAATTGCTTCAAAGATACATCACAACTACGCATGTCATATTACAAACATTTCCACAGATATTTTCAACCAAAGCGATTGGCTGGAGGATTAACATTGGTCGGCGGTGGGGACTATGCATCTGGGATTTTTGGAATGGAGTTTTCCCAGCCTCCCTATCGCTTTCCATCTGGATCCTTTCAATTGGACATCAACTTCAGCTTTAAAAAGAGCGTGTTCTTTGCTGATTACGTCATCATTTGCTTAGGCACTGGTATCACCTCTTCTAACAGCTCTCCGAACATCACGCAGGTACCATATGAACCTCCCTCCATTTACTTGGTAGAGGTTCACAGCTTATCTTGTGGACGTACATGCAGACTCACACTTCAACGACCTTACTGAGGGGTAGAGGGGGAGGGGAGGTTGATGCTGTCCACTTGGGTTTTCATTGTTATTACATTTTGATAAGTGCCCTACAGGTCGCTCTGTATGATACAAACCTTAGTTGTTGGTTGTGTCATTATATGACATAGTCAAATCTGCCAGTTTGGATTTTACTATTTTTGCATAACTTATAGAAGTAACTTCTCGACGAGAAGTCCATCTAACTAAAAAAAAGTAACATAGACCGTCGTTGTTGGCTTCGGCTTCTTCACTGTCGGGCCTCTTTGATACTGAAAGCAAAGGATAGAGCTGAGTGTCCGCCTGACTATGGAGGTTTCTGTATAAAGAGATCAACTTTGCAAATAAAACTCTCCTTTGACCCGGACAACAAGGCTACTGTACATCCAAATCAAGTCACTTGCAAAGTTATACAACACTGCTAAAAATAGTAATCTTTTACTTTTATCTCTTTCAGACTTCATTGTTCCAGAACAAGCTGCTAGATTCCGATAATCCGTCATCTATTCTCATAAACACTACCACCCACTCACTCAGTACTGATTTAACTAGAGAGCCTTCCTTTTTTGGAGACGGGGACAATGCGGCTACGCTAAGAGATGTTAACGGTAACCTCTTAAACTTGCAAACAATATACTTCGTAACGCAGTGACGGTGGTATTAAGTAGTGCTTTTGTATGTGACCTAAGTCAACAGGTAGCCAATCAGAAGCCTTGTCTACTGTAATGATTTCCTTTGATATCAAGTTACTGACCTGAAGTGGCCGGAGTCTTTGGTTGAGATTTGGTCGTGCAAATGCCTTGTAATCTTACCTAATCGTACGTTTCTGGTACGCTTCTCCGCATATCAGGTGATAGCTATGGTTCGTATATTGGCAGACATAGTTGAGTGAAAATACTTTTGACAAGACCATGACAGCTGATTTGTCATCGAGACGCAGGAAAAATGTACAGTTAGGAATAATGGATATTTTGGGCGGATGAAATTACTTAGTAAAAGTATTTTAAAACTTTAAGCTACAAAGCCGTAAAACTAAACGCTTTAGATATTCAGTTTTTCTTGCTTTTTTTTCCTGTATAAGGGAATGGTTACTACATTCCTAATCCTAACAGCCAAGGACTAAACATGAAGATCAGCCTGCAAACATCCAGGGACCAAAGGGGAAGAGCAAGAGAGACATCAGCTCGGTATGCTACAGCTTGGCTTAACCATGGCGTCAATCCATCGGACGCGAAGTATGAATACACTATAGTTGTGAACAAACCTGCAAACGTTGTCCAGGTAAAATGTAACTACGGTATTGTCTTTATTTGTTGTACTGTGACGGTGATACAGACCACTTAACAAGTCAGTCTTTTTCAAGACTAATCAGCACGAAATAATATGTTTGAAAACGACTTTCCTTCAGTTGTTATGGCTTATTCAGATCTATTTGTTGAGAGATAATGGTCTCGTCGTTGCTTTCTCGTTCTAATTGCACCAAGTAAGTACGGAAGAAACTGAAGATACAATATGTCCAAAACGTCAACAATCAACAAATAGTTTCAGTTTTTAGCAATGATACGAGTGCGTTCGTTAGTTTACCATTCTAAGCGGGATGCTTGACTACTCATGTAATCGAAAAAACGTAAACTGAAATGAGACTTTTGTGATATGGAAGGTACTGGCCACAAGGCAAGCAAGTGACAACAAAGTATATGAAGTTCTCCACAAAGACAACAAAGCCCACGTGGTAAAGATCAATGATTGTCCCAGGGCTGGTGAAACTCAGTACGGATATGTTTTCTTCGACAAATCTGTCCGCACCCCTGGTCCAGTTAGGCGCGTGGACAAGGTAAATATCTGCACTGCACCAGAAAATAATTCTTATAGTAGAAGAATTTTATGAGATAGAACCAAATTAGTAATTAGAGGAATGCACCCTTGCAAGTTTTAACTTGCAAGGGTATATTCTTAAAGGACGTCTTCACGTCTTAAAAGACGTGATGCACTGCGGCCGACACGCTACAATGCAATACTATTGAAGAAAGCTCAACAAACAGTTAACATCGAAAAACCAAACAATAATGTGTCACGTATTACACAGATAATTGCTGATTTACTCGTTGTAAGGGTTGCAGCAGAAAACCAAATATTGGAAAAACTTCTTTAATTAGTTTAACGGTCGCAAACTCACCTCACTAGCAATTCCTCCAAATTCCTCCAAATTCCTCCAAATGTTAAATGAGCCAAGTATAGCAGTCTTCAATTCTACATTTCTTCGTGTTAAATGTAAAACTCGCTACCGTTTCCTAATGTGAATTGCTCTGGAGAAAGAGTGACACATAATAATGTCTTCATAAATTTTCCGCAAGGTTCTAAACTCGCGTTTTCTTGAAATAAGTTTGTCGGCGCTAACAACGTAAATAGCTCTAAAATCAATAGGATTTTGACCAAAAAAACAAAACACATTAATCTAGAATTGATGAAGAAAATATGTAGTACCGCCTTGGAACGACAATCTGAATGTACAATTGCGTCTTTGCTTTCATGATAAGCTACATCGACGCTTCAGTTAGAAACATCTCTACTACACAAGTTCAAGCTCTGCCTCATATGCGAGTATTTAACCAAATTAATTTTCTCTGCCAATTTAGATTTTTTACTGTTATGAAAATACATTCTGAACTCTTGCAAATTTCACTCAAAACAGAGAGCTGCATTAGCTTGCTGTGAATTACCAAATCCTACACTACAGCGCTTTGCTATTGGAATATTTTACAGGTGCCTTGTATTGTGATGGTGGAAGAGGTGGATAACAACAACTTATACATCGCTGTCTCTTCTCCTGATCTTAATTTCAACATTACCAGAGACCTGGAAGTTGGTAGCCAGGTTAACGGCGATGAACGGTTTTACTCTATCAGTATGCCAGTAGAAATACAGGTGATGCAAACATCTCTAACTTAAAACCCTAAATATTTCTTATCCCCCCCAAAATTTCATTCATGCAGTAAGCCCGTTATCCATTTGAGGGTTAATTTCACGACTTACGTGTCGTTTACGGTAACATTTTAATATTTCACCTTCAATTCCTTTAGAGACGATATTTGGACTGCCTCTCATCGAAGATATGTTTGAAGATATGTTTGNTCACGCGTTTGAACCCTTATCCATCGTATCTCTCAATCTAAGGTTTCACTGACGGCAGCGGGCTTGGTACCTTGGACCATGAAATGAACAACGCGGGGGCAGGGTTTATGACTGCAGCCTTTCTCCTAAGGAAAGAATTACAAGCCGCGGGAAAGTTATCTGACTATGTTGCCACCATGAAATGGTACAACGACTTCGGCGAGATTTACCAAGCTCCATTTGAATACGTTGGTACAACCGCTGATCGAATGAGAACTATTTCATTGTGGAGGTAACTTATTTTTTTTTAATACCAATTTTGTACAGAGATTTTGCTGCTTTAAGAAATACAACGAAATTCCAGTTCTTGCTATCAGTTATCCTCGGTATAATAAATTCAGGCTGCAGAGACACGGCGTGTTTTTTACATGACGGGAGTTGATGTACATGCATAACAGGGGTCATAAGGCTATTCTTCTTTCATTCGGTTGAGTTTGTCTACTTGCATTTTTTACAAGTTTTCAATTTTCCTAATTTTTCTCAAGTTTTAAGTACGTTAGGAGGCGCGGTGGCCTTGTGGTTAGTGCGCTCGTCTCTGGATCGAGCGGTCCGGGTTCGAGACCTAGCCGGGGACGTTGTGTTGTGTTCTTGGGCAAGACACTTTACTCTCAGAGTGCCTCTCTCCACCCAGGTGTATAATTGGGTGCTGACGAACTTACTGCTGGGGATAGCCCTTCGATGGACTAGCATCCCATAGACCCAGGGGGGAGTAGAACTACTCATTGTCGCTTCACACTACAGAAACTGGGGTAAGCTGCGGCCTGGCTCGTATGCAGACTACCTAAGATTTTGTTCTTATGGCAGATTATTTGCTGTCCTTATGATGCCTACCTCCACAACAAAAGAAAAACAGGAGAAAATTCGTGACATGAAAGCACTTGGCCGATGGTACGCCAACGCCTTATCTCCAAATGAAGGTTTTGCAGGAACACTTAAGCCTGACTACGTTGGTTACCATCACAACAGTTACTATGCTTCTGCTTACACACCCCATGCTTTACACAAGGCTGCACTCATTCAGTACCTGCTTAGCGGGACAGAATTTGCATTAGGTGAGAATTATTTATCTTCTGAAGGGACAAAAACACTCCTTGTCCCTGCATCACCTTAGATTAGATTATACAGTGGAATCCCGATTTCTCAAACCCTCATTTTTTCGAACCTCCCGATAATTCGTTTCTTTTTTCTTAGTCGAACACTGTTATTTTACCGCCGATTTCTCGAACTCTCCGATTTTTCAAACCAATTTTCGTTTCCCGTGGAGGTTCGAAAAACCGGGATTCCACTGTGGATTAAATCAGTGCCAAATAACTTGTGGTTTTGTTGCTGATGAATTTCGTTTTTCCTTCTTTATTCTGCTCGAACATCACAAGAAAGTTTTTGTGATCTCGTAACTTGTAGTTGAAAAGTTAATTGTCATTTATCTTCTCCTGTAAAAGGCGCTGAGACGGAGGGAAACATTAAGAAAGGACTTGAAGTAATGAGGATTGTCTCTGTTAAATATTCTTCACCAAACAGCGTCTCAGGTCGCTTTCCAGGATTCAGTCGCGTAATTCTGGCAAAGTCCTTCCCTGCTTATGCTTATGCTGCTGCCACTGCTCCAGTTTTGAACGATGACGGCTCTTTTGGTGAAATTTCTACTTTCAACAATGAAACCCTCCAGATGTTTTTGCGGCTGTACGACACAACGGAAAAAGCGGTTAACGATTACCTGGGAGATGGAGCGATTTTTACTAATATTTATTATCTGAATTCCATTGGCTCGGTTAACATCATGGAGGAAATTCACAAAAAGGCCAATGCAATGAGCATCCAAGCAGAGAGCTCTCCCCAAGGATGTTGGACCAAGAATTATGCAGCATTTATCATCCAAAGACGAGAAGACTGGGCGGTCACTGTTAAAGGATTCAACAAATATATTTGGGACTTTGAAGCTTCAGGAAAACAGAATGTCTTTGGGCTTTATCAGAGTCATGGCGCGTTACTTGTAGCAAACAGCGAGGAGGCTCTTTTAACGCACGATATCGACAATGGCTGGGACTGGACACGACATCCGGGTACTACAACTATCAAAATGGATCTCGATCAGCTGATAAGCGATAACCGCAGGTTTGAATAGAATAATTCAATTCATTCAGTTCTTTTATTTACACTACGTAGATATCTATCTTTCTTTTATTTACACAGCAGAAAACATCAAACAACACAGTACATTGCAATTGACTGATTATAATGACGCCAAGTCTGACATTAAAAACAACCCCTAAAAACCTACATGTGGTGTGCATGTCAAACATGAATTTGCAGACTGCGTTTGTCCCTTTCTATAATGTCATACGTCTTCGTTATGCTTATGTTAGCAGAGTGCTTGTTATTTTGCTTCTTTTGTAAAATAGATAGTCATTGATAAAAATCCACACTCACGGCTTATTTACAACTACAAACTGCTCCCTTAAAACTACCACTCGATCAGCTATCGTTTTTACAGTAGTTATCCGCTATAACTGTTCAAAAATTGCTTCAAAGATACATCACAACTACGCATGTCATATTACAAACATTTCCACAGATATTTTCAACCAAAGCGATTGGCTGGAGGATTAACATTGGTCGGCGGTGGGGACTATGCATCTGGGATTTTTGGAATGGAGTTTTCCCAGCCTCCCTATCGCTTTCCATCTGGATCCTTTCAATTGGACATCAACTTCAGCTTTAAAAAGAGCGTGTTCTTTGCTGATTACGTCATCATTTGCTTAGGCACTGGTATCACCTCTTCTAACAGCTCTCCGAACATCACGCAGGTACCATATGAACCTCCCTCCATTTACTTGGTAGAGGTTCACAGCTTATCTTGTGGACGTACATGCAGACTCACACTTCAACGACCTTACTGAGGGGTAGAGGGGGAGGGGAGGTTGATGCTGTCCACTTGGGTTTTCATTGTTATTACATTTTGATAAGTGCCCTACAGGTCGCTCTGTATGATACAAACCTTAGTTGTTGGTTGTGTCATTATATGACATAGTCAAATCTGCCAGTTTGGATTTTACTATTTTTGCATAACTTATAGAAGTAACTTCTCGACGAGAAGTCCATCTAACTAAAAAAAAGTAACATAGACCGTCGTTGTTGGCTTCGGCTTCTTCACTGTCGGGCCTCTTTGATACTGAAAGCAAAGGATAGAGCTGAGTGTCCGCCTGACTATGGAGGTTTCTGTATAAAGAGATCAACTTTGCAAATAAAACTCTCCTTTGACCCGGACAACAAGGCTACTGTACATCCAAATCAAGTCACTTGCAAAGTTATACAACACTGCTAAAAATAGTAATCTTTTACTTTTATCTCTTTCAGACTTCATTGTTCCAGAACAAGCTGCTAGATTCCGATAATCCGTCATCTATTCTCATAAACACTACCACCCACTCACTCAGTACTGATTTAACTAGAGAGCCTTCCTTTTTTGGAGACGGGGACAATGCGGCTACGCTAAGAGATGTTAACGGTAACCTCTTAAACTTGCAAACAATATACTTCGTAACGCAGTGACGGTGGTATTAAGTAGTGCTTTTGTATGTGACCTAAGTCAACAGGTAGCCAATCAGAAGCCTTGTCTACTGTAATGATTTCCTTTGATATCAAGTTACTGACCTGAAGTGGCCGGAGTCTTTGGTTGAGATTTGGTCGTGCAAATGCCTTGTAATCTTACCTAATCGTACGTTTCTGGTACGCTTCTCCGCATATCAGGTGATAGCTATGGTTCGTATATTGGCAGACATAGTTGAGTGAAAATACTTTTGACAAGACCATGACAGCTGATTTGTCATCGAGACGCAGGAAAAATGTACAGTTAGGAATAATGGATATTTTGGGCGGATGAAATTACTTAGTAAAAGTATTTTAAAACTTTAAGCTACAAAGCCGTAAAACTAAACGCTTTAGATATTCAGTTTTTCTTGCTTTTTTTTCCTGTATAAGGGAATGGTTACTACATTCCTAATCCTAACAGCCAAGGACTAAACATGAAGATCAGCCTGCAAACATCCAGGGACCAAAGTGGAAGAGCAAGAGAGACATCAGCTCGGTATGCTACAGCTTGGCTTAACCATGGCGTCAATCCATCGGACGCGAAGTATGAATACACTATAGTTGTGAACAAACCTGCAAACGTTGTCCAGGTAAAATGTAACTACGGTATTGTCTTTATTTGTTGTACTGTGACGGTGATACAGACCACTTAACAAGTCAGTCTTTTTCAAGACTAATCAGCACGAAATAATATGTTTGAAAACGACTTTCCTTCAGTTGTTATGGCTTATTCAGATCTATTTGTTGAGAGATAATGGTCTCGTCGTTGCTTTCTCGTTCTAATTGCACCAAGTAAGTACGGAAGAAACTGAAGATACAATATGTCCAAAACGTCAACAATCAACAAATAGTTTCAGTTTTTAGCAATGATACGAGTGCGTTCGTTAGTTTACCATTCTAAGCGGGATGCTTGACTACTCATGTAATCGAAAAAACGTAAACTGAAATGAGACTTTTGTGATATGGAAGGTACTGGCCACAAGGCAAGCAAGTGACAACAAAGTATATGAAGTTCTCCACAAAGACAACAAAGCCCACGTGGTAAAGATCAATGATTGTCCCAGGGCTGGTGAAACTCAGTACGGATATGTTTTCTTCGACAAATCTGTCCGCACCCCTGGTCCAGTTAGGCGCGTGGACAAGGTAAATATCTGCACTGCACCAGAAAATAATTCTTATAGTAGAAGAATTTTATGAGATAGAACCAAATTAGTAATTAGAGGAATGCACCCTTGCAAGTTTTAACTTGCAAGGGTATATTCTTAAAGGACGTCTTCACGTCTTAAAAGACGTGATGCACTGCGGCCGACACGCTACAATGCAATACTATTGAAGAAAGCTCAACAAACAGTTAACATCGAAAAACCAAACAATAATGTGTCACGTATTACACAGATAATTGCTGATTTACTCGTTGTAAGGGTTGCAGCAGAAAACCAAATATTGGAAAAACTTCTTTAATTAGTTTAACGGTCGCAAACTCACCTCACTAGCAATTCCTCCAAATTCCTCCAAATTCCTCCAAATGTTAAATGAGCCAAGTATAGCAGTCTTCAATTCTACATTTCTTCGTGTTAAATGTAAAACTCGCTACCGTTTCCTAATGTGAATTGCTCTGGAGAAAGAGTGACACATAATAATGTCTTCATAAATTTTCCGCAAGCTTCTAAACTCGCGTTTTCTTGAAATAAGTTTGTCGGCGCTAACAACGTAAATAGCTCTAAAATCAATAGGATTTTGACCAAAAAAACAAAACACATTAATCTAGAATTGATGAAGAAAATATGTAGTACCGCCTTGGAACGACAATCTGAATGTACAATTGCGTCTTTGCTTTCATGATAAGCTACATCGACGCTTCAGTTAGAAACATCTCTACTACACAAGTTCAAGCTCTGCCTCATATGCGAGTATTTAACCAAATTAATTTTCTCTGCCAATTTAGATTTTTTACTGTTATGAAAATACATTCTGAGCTCTTGCAAATTTCACTCAAAACAGAGAGCTGCATTAGCTTGCTGTGAATTACCAAATCCTACACTACAGCGCTTTGCTATTGGAATATTTTACAGGTGCCTTGTATTGTGATGGTGGAAGAGGTGGATAACAACAACTTATACATCGCTGTCTCTTCTCCTGATCTTAATTTCAACATTACCAGAGACCTGGAAGTTGGTAGCCAGGTTAACGGCGATGAACGGTTTTACTCTATCAGTATGCCAGTAGAAATACAGGTGATGCAAACATCTCTAACTTAAAACCCTAAATATTTCTTATCCCCCCCAAAATTTCATTCATGCAGTAAGCCCGTTATCCATTTGAGGGTTAATTTCACGACTTACGTGTCGTTTACGGTAACATTTTAATATTTCACCTTCAATTCCTTTAGAGACGATATTTGGACTGCCTCTCATCGAAGATATGTTTGAAGATATGTTTGATTTGTTTACAATAAAAAAAAAAACAGCAACCACAACAAACAACAAACAACAGGAACAACAGCAACAACAACAACAAAAAAATGCAGGACACAAAACAGGACACCACTAGCTGAAGGTGGCTCCCTAGAGTATTTACGAACAACCCCCCCTATAGAGCGCGACTTAGCAAAGGAAACAGTTTTCCCTGTAGAGATTTACCAGTATGGTTACTGTTAAAATGAGGCTTATTTTTTGCTTGTCAATTTTTGGATTAAGGCCGTTACCATGGCAACATCTCATCTAATGACAGGCAGATATATTCTTCATTTTGGCCTAAACTCCTTAATATTTATACTTTCCTTCGGTGAAATTTTTTCATACTTTGCCCCATCATGTAAATGATATTGCCTGGCATTTTGAATTGGTAAAAAGTCAAGGTTGTTCAGACGGTTTTTCCAATATTCTGTCATTAACCTAAATATATTAGATTAGCTCCGACAGATTTTAACAAAAATGGGGTATTTTATAGGAATTGTATGTGGTTACAACTGAGCCAAATTAAAAAAAAAAATTCACCGAAGGAAACGCGAGAAAATCCACAGTCAGTTTTGCGTTTTGTGCTCATGTTGACGTCATAAAATATCGAAAGACACTGAGCACGCGGCGATCGTCCTCAGCACGGGTGCGACC